CCTTTGTCAGCAACTGCATTTGATTCATTTCTCTCTGGCTGCGGCCGTTAAAGGACCATATGGTTCCTCCTCCACTGGATTTAAAAAATACATATTCATACTCAGATATGCTTCTCTCATCACGAACTTCTCCTCGGCTCAGTTTGCGAAAATCAGGCTATGATCCAAACGACCGAGGACCATTATCATCTTCTTCTTCTCGATTTAGCTTCAACCATCTCATCAAATCACCACCACCTTCACCTAGTCTTCCGGCTTTGGTCCCTAGACATGGCAAACCAGCGCCATCCCGGACTCCTCGAAAATGTTTCAGAGGATTTTTGTGGTTTTGTGGCATAGCAATGATACTTTATTTTTGTTCCAGCTCACCATGGCTAGAAAGACCAATGACGGCAGTAGGGTGGGCAACAGATTCTGGAAATCAGTATGAGATGGTTGGAGAATCAGAATTACCGGACTTTCCAACGCCAGTTATCATAACGGACAAGCGCGGACGATCGAAGTGGACGGTCTCCATACCCCCCAATCACGAGTTTCCTCTCACGCCTACACAATACGCCGATATTTGCTCTCAAAATATGGAAGTTGCTGCCACGGTTGCAGACCTACATAGCCACGTGCATCGAGAGCACACTGCACACTACGACTACTACCACGTGGACCAAAATTTCATGGACGTTGCTGAGGCGGAGGCTCATGGGCTTTTACCTGGAATTAAGACGAAGAATAGTGTAAAGGATGATTCCTTGGTGGGCGAAAAAAAGGGCGACTTGATTGATTCAGATGTCTGTGATAAGACTTTAACTTTTGTACTGGAAACCTCGGATGCGGGGCTTGGTAAAACCTTGATGATGTTATGGACTGCGTTTGGTTTGGCTCAAAAGGAAGGAAGGCATTTTTTCGTAGATGACTCAAGATGGTAGGCTCTGAGAAACTTACCTCCTTTATTTACTGTTTACTGATGATACCAAGGGCATACGGTAAATACACCACCTTCTTCCAACCACCACCAGCACCCAAGTGTAGACCCCCACCACGACACGAAATGCTTCCATGCCCACATCATGCTCGCCATCTAGTGGTCTCGGCTGCGACCGTTACTCATACCTTTGGAGGATCTTTCAACGATTATTTTGAGGATGCGCGAAAGATGGAAGTCTACCGACAAAAGCCAATTTTTGAAATGGCCCGAGTCGGGTACACAGCGCTTTTTCACCTATCCGATGGAGATGATGAATATGTCGATAGAAGGGCCGCGGAATTCAGAGCAAAAACGACACTCGATCCAGTGGATCAAGAAAGTGGAATCGTCATCGGTGTACATGTTCGCCACGGAGATAGAAGGCCATTCGAATTTCAGTACAAGGATAGCTATATCCCATTAACAGTATATAGCGACACAGCGCGCATGCTACTGGACAAGAAATACAACCACTCACTTCCGAATGGAGGTCATGATGCTTTGGCTCAGATGGCTAGTGCAATTGTTCTTGCGTCCGACGATCCCGACGTTTACGATTCAGACGAATTCAAGGACGTATCTAGAGCACAAGAGCAAATTCGATTAGCGTCCAAGAATGCCCTTGAAGCAGCTACCCCTCAACCCAACACTCCAGGCCCAAGAAAATTTGTCGATGACACAGTAGGATGGGAAGGTGGATTTTTTGCCGGCATGTTCTGGAGTTTGGGTAAACCTTCCGGAACTCCCAAAACTGCAGTTGAGAATCCCGAAACAGCATTGACTCCAACTACCGAAGCTTTAAGATTGAGGGAATTGGTTGGAAGAGCTTATTTGATGGATTTGGCAGTTTTGGGAAAAGCAAGTGACAAGATTATTTGCACAGTCAGTTCCACTGGCTGCAGAATCCTCGCTGTCATGATGGGCTGGGAGAAAGCGATTGATCAAGGTAGTTTTGTCAATGTGGAATGGAAACTTCGATTGGAGGGGTATAGCATGGT